AAAGTGGCACTTATAAGCTATGCTATAACTTAGCAGTTTATTCCCCAATGAATTTCAGTTCTTTATAATTCGGCCCTTGCATACAGTAATATTTACGAATGCCTCTTCGTCCTTACCGTAGCCCGTTTGTCCGTACCGTAGACCAGTAAAAAATTGTACAATTTGTAGCTTTAAGAAGAGCATACCTGTAGAAATTCTTTAAAAAAGTTGTCTACCACATCTTCTAAGTTAGTTCTAAAGAAATTCATTAAAATTAAGCGTTTAATTACATTTCCTAGCTTTCTTAGGAGAAAAATGATGGCGCAAAATTCTAGAAATCGGACTTTAGAGCAATTTGGGGGCTAAATTTTGAAAGTAAAAACTTTGAAGGGTATTTTGTTTTATTCTTCTACAAGAATATAGCTCAATGAATGCAAAAAAACTTAAAACGGTATTATTATCGCACTTATTGATAGTAAAACATGCCTGTTTAGTTGGTCTACGGTACGGACAAAAAATTTAACTTCCAGTGATAAAAGAGGCCAAAAAAAAATTTCTGTTGAAAACGAAGATTGACCACTATTAAAATCGACTTTCATAGAGTATGAGGACTTCAGAAAACATGCTGAAGTCTTAAAATAACTAAAGTCACTTTTTTAAAAAACGATGGCTCCAAGAGCATAACTTATTTGATTCTACTCACATACATACATGCATACATACATACATACCACACATACATACATAGTTAGTTAGTTTGGGGAAGGCTGTGTGCTATTAGTCGGCTGTAGGGGGGTAGGAGGGTTGCTAAGAGCAGGTGGGTTTGGATTGGCAGGTACAATCACTGCTGGAGTCAATCCTGTCCTATCCCAGGCGAAAGTTTGGTAGCTAAAAGCAGGTTGCTCCGGAGGGAGGAAACCTGTGAGTGCCTGGGCGATGATGTTCATTGCGAGGGCGCCATAAGGCTTGAGTGAGTAAGGTGACGTTGAGAGCATCACATCCTTATAGTCTGGAGACCCTGCACTAGCATACCAACCTCTGACCACCGGAGTGCCTTGGATCACGACTTCATGACGCATGTCCGCTGTGGTGTGATAATCAACCAAACCCCACTCCACTGGGAAGGTATTCAACCAAGACATCAGGCACATGGGGTTGCCAAATCTAGGCGGGTGATGTGGGGAGGTGAGCCCAAAGGGACCCTCAAAACCCCAAGCCAGGATAGGGGCGTTCCAGCTGCGTGTCGCCAAGGTATTCAAAGGCAGCACTCCCCCAATGTGTCTGTCTATGGCGTTTACCACCAAGACAAAAAGTGATGGTGAATCGTTGACATCACCGGACACGTTCGTGGTTAGGGCTAACTCGTTAGCTAGCTCCAGATAGAGAGGGGGAGTCAGATTGGACCGCATGGCGGCAAGCTGGATCACCGTACCATTCACATTGAATGACTGTAGGGCTGTGGTGAAGAAGATGGTAGCAACACCGGCGAGAACGGATGTGTGTAGAAGGCGCTCTGTCAAACTTGCACCTCCAAAGCAGATGTAGTCACGCAGGAACTTTTTATCTTCAGACCGTGTTAGTTGTAGTAGACGATGCAAGAAGTTATACTCCCGAGGTTGGGGCAGAACGGGTTCACCAAAGGTCTCGAGAGTTGGAGAGACAAAGGTATGCCATTCGAAACCAGCTGTCCCTTCTGGTAGTTCATCAGCTCCGTGGATGTCAAGGAGCTGGCCATTTTCATGCGTGTCAATCCTGTTGGCTGCGTCTTGCGGTGCGGGGTCGCCATCATGGCACATCTCTAACCGTCCATTGATCAGGAAAGCGGCTTCATAATAGCCGGCGGCGAAGTAGTCGCGTTCTCGGCGTGCGAGGGCTAGTCTTTGAAGGAAACGCCACATGTCCTCTGAGCTTACGGGACCTGGCTGCACAACTGAGAGGACAAGTGGGCCTCTGGAAACGATTGTGAACCTGATTTCGGGCCAGGTGACTGTCATTGCTGCCAGGGATGGGACACCCGCTGGAGCGATTCTTCTGCCGGCATAAGCTAGGTACTGGACGTACTTGAGGTCGCCTAGGTCAAAGTCGACGTTAAGTAGGAGCACGAATTCTCCCTTCTGGATCAAATCTGCAATCATGTCAGCGGTAGTAGCATTGGCCAATATGTCAAGAGAGGAGATGGGGTTTGCGGCTGGGTAAGCAGGGTACAAACAAGCAAGGTTTTCTTGCACGATACGGCCCGCAAGTAATGAGTAGAAGGCGCCTTTAGTGTAAAGTAGCGTATTGTCATAACGCTGGGTGCTCACTGACACATAGAGAGAGAGCGCTCTAGCCACATTGGGTGATGTAAGCCACGGGTTTAAGGCTGCGCCAGCTGTACGATCATTGGGGATGCCCTCAGGCTGCACTGCTTTGAGTTGCTCGGCAGTAATATCGCCTGTAACATTGGCACGAATGTGAATTATCCGGAAGGGAACACTCAGTCGGAGCCGGAGCCGTCGCTCATATCCTCCCATTGTCATGTATACGCGTTTTGATCTTTGAAGGCCTCCTTGCGATGAGCGCCTTTTGGGGAAAGACTGGAAGACCACGCCATGCGCCGTGGGGTCATAAGCTATGCGGGCGTCTCCTCTAACAACCATGTCATGTGAATCGTCGAAGAATGGATTAGATGAGTAGGTACGCAAGGAATCATCAAAACACATTGGGGGTGCTAGATGTGAAGACACGATTGTGCCAGTCCCTGGTAGAGCAGGGTTCTTCCCGCGGAAAGGAGCGAACGTCATGTTGAGTTGTTGAAACGTGTGAGGGTGAAGAAAGGGAACGCTGTTTGAAGGCTGGTGTCTGGCAGCAGGTACACACTCGTACTGCACAGACTAGGAACGCTTGCGATATCAAAACACTGATCCACAGGCGTAAGACGGAATCCGATACACCCTGGGGCCCCAAGTATCGGTCAGGAGACTGTCCCCCAGTTGGACTCAAAGAGTAGGCCGTTGCAGTCGTTATAGGCATTTAGAGCTTGCGCTCACTTAGCACGGGCCGTGTACCACCACGCGACGATTTTGGCCAATATCCCTGAAAGGATACCCAACGGGCGCGTCAGAGGGCGAAAGTCATTAGGGTCTGATGACATAGGGGTGAGAGGGCGCGAATTCATCATCGCCTCGATGCGACATATCAATGTTAAGAATTCCGCGGCATAAAGTCTCTCATTTCCTATCGTCCGTTTCAAATGAGATTTCATGCTCTTAACAGCGGCTTCCCACAGTCCTCCACTCCTCCACTGGTAGGATTGGAGGGCGGGATATTCTCGAACCGAATATTATTTTTCAAAAAAAATTCCTGTAAGGTAGGATCAGCTGATTTCATGATCCGAGCGAATACGTTGGCCGCGCCGACGAAATTCGTGCCATTATCGGACATGATCAAACAAGGATTTCCGCGCCTAGCGATGAATCGTTGAAGGGCGGCGATAAATTCAGGGGTGGAAAGGCCGTCTACAACTTCGAGATGTACCGCCTTATAGTCTGTCCCAGATACGAAGAGCGCTGGAAAATCGGAATAATTAGCACTATTTGGCAGGTTGGGGTGCCTCGACCCTCGTCACCTGTCATCTCGTCGCCTCTCACATGCGTCGCACAGAGGGTCGCAAGCCACCTTGAGGCAACGCATACTCCCTTCGCATCTCCAGACCGGGATAGGCGATTTAAATCCCTGATTATTGACATTATTCGTCGCTCCTCTGACCAAAGGTTTTACCTCCATTTTTACGTGAGCTCCGAAAAGCATGAAGCTACATAGGCAACTGCAGGCCTCACGTGAAAATCGATGTATGCCTTAGCGTTATAGGAGCCACGAAATGTGGCTGAATAGCGGCATTTCTATACGCGTAGCTTCAAATATTCTTTTGATTATTTGTTTTCTGGTCTGTTCCCAGATTTTGGTTCCAAACGCTTAAATTATTAAGAGGAAGAATGTGAGAGAACGAAGTGGAGGGGGGGGGATGCTCAAAATTTGGTGGCCCTGAAAAGGGCCGTTTTCGACGAGGCTCAAAGATTAATAAAATCTTGAGCATAAGGTAGATGATTACTGTTGTGATCATCTTTCTCTAAGGGCAGGAACCCAACTCCGAGGGTGTAGCCGTCTTCTTGCAGGAAACCTGCGACGCTTTCGTCCATTATTTCGTCTTCTGCTTCGTCATCAGATTCAGACCAATCAGATTCGTCATCGTCATCGTCATCAGCGCCTAGATGGATCAAAAATTGTTCTACTTCTTCATCCGCCAATCCTTCTCGTTCCCAGGCAGCCTCGACTTCTTTCTTCACATGCTGGACGTAAGATTTCCAGGCCTCGGTAGAAAATTTTTCAACAGCCTCCAGGAAAAGCTCTTTGACATCACCAAGCTTCTGTGTTGTGTTCCGCTTTTGGACATAGCCTTTTAGCCATGCCCACGCCATCTCAATAGCATTGAAATGGCAGTGATATGGCGGTAAACGTAGAACTTTGAATCCTTGAGCTTTAGCTTCTTCATCCAGAACGTATTGCGGCTTCGGTGGTTTGGTTCGTCGAACTAACTCCAAAAGTTCGACCTTCCGCATGCTTTCAGAGCATGGCACGTTGTGGTTCCGCAGCCACTCTATTATGACAGCTTTCCTCGACGATGTTGTGGGAGGTTTGTCCTTGACGCGTGAATGGTATGGAGCGTTGTCCATAATAATCGTGGATCCGGGTTCAAGAGCTGGAAGTAGTGTCTGCAGAAACCACTTTTCAAATGTTGCTGCATTCATCTCCTCGTGGTAGTCACCCGTCTTCTTCGAGGAAAATATCAATGGAGGTGCAGGTATCCATCCTGTGCTACCTCCAGCATGACAAATTATCAGTCTCTCTCCTTTCCCCAGCTTGGGATCGCTGATGTGTGCTTTGACGGTACCATCTGAAATACCGTGGGTCGAGCAGGTGTTTTTATTGATCCATGTTTCATCCAGGAAAATAACTTTTTCCCAGTCGATCTTCAGGACAGAGCGCAAGAAGAAACACCTCGCCAAAGCAATTGCTGGTTTCTCCATGAGAACGACGCGATTGTTCAGCTTTCTATAGGTAAAACCTAGTTCTTGAAGAAGGCGGTGAAGTGCAGATCGTGAGCTTTTGTAAAGGTCAGCTTCAGCCAGAGATTTCAGCAGCTTATCCAACGTCGGCACATTTTTATCACGGTAGTAACCGTATATATGCCTCCGAATAGCCTCGGCATCAAAGTCGTCTACTTCCTTGCCTTTCTTCTTATGCGTCTTCCCAGGTGTTGAAAACTTCGGCTTTTTCTGAGACGCCACAAGCTCGGATTCCTTCTTGATTCTTCTGACAGTACAATATCCAATATCTAGCGCTTGGGCAGTCCTCTCCAAGACTTGGTTGATGCCCAGTAAGGGTCCGTTGTTCTGCTTCTCCTTTTCGAAGTACTTGATAACTCGAGCGACAAATTCGCGAGCTTGCGAGTGGAGCACTTGCCTCTTCCCACTTGTTGCTGCCATCGTCCGGTGGTGTTGCTCCAGTAAAGTTCAGAATGCGAGTGCGAATTAAGCACAGAAGGGACTGCGTTATATCCCTTATTGATTGATTACCACCCACCAATAAGAAGCCAGATAGTGTTCGTCTGAACTAACGCGATGCACGAGGCCGGTTTTCCCCGGGACCCAGGAGCGGATTCCCGACGCAAGGCGCCGCCGCGCCGCGGAGCTCGTAACCAGCCCTCTGTGCGGTGCGGGGTTGGCTCGGTCATTAGACGGGTATCAATAGAACGAACGATACCTTGCTTCTACATCGTGCAAATTATTCCGATTTTCCAGCGCTCTTCGTATCTGGGACAGACTATAGTGACTAAACAAACAAAAACGCTGACGTAGGCTGGGACAGTGCGCGCGGTGCGATTGGAGTGAAGTTTCACAGAGAAAGGGCCAGCGTAATCAACGCCTGTGCGTTCGAAGGGCGCGCTAGGCTGCACTCGCTGCGTCTGTTAATTTTTTGCAACTCACACTCTCTTGTAGGCAACATGTCTTCAAACGCAACAAAAAAACCTTTCAAGCCTCCACTTGTCAATAAACCCACCATCAAACAAGCTCAACCTATTGGAAGTGCTGTGCCTCCAAGAACCACTAAGGGACCTAATAAAGTAATTGCTGAGCCGAAGAGTTCTGCTGTGCCTCAAGGAACCACTAAGGGACCTAATAAAGTAATTGCTAAGCCGAAGAGTCAAAACAAACCTAAGCCTCTATTGGTGTCTGATTTTATTGATTTGGAAACCCCCTCTGTCAAGACGACTCAATCATCGGCCTCATCGTCTTCATTGGCCGAATCTCAGCCAACAGAGACAGACACATGTCCATCTAGTAGGAACAGCTCGTGCAGCACCACACCTAACAGGGAATTGGCTAATTCTGTCCCATGGGGTAGCCATGTGACTCCTCGAAGAAAAGAGGCTCTTCAGGATTTGAAGAAGAAGATTGCATCCATATCAGGCTCCCCCTTTGGATCAAAGAGCGCGCAAAATTTAAGCTTTTCAAATCCCACCAGCTCTCGCAGCACCACACCTACCAGGGAATCGGCGAATTCTGTGCCATGGGGTGTCAATGTAACCCCTCAAAGAAAAGAGACTCTTCAGGAGTTTAAGAAGCTTGCATCCATATCATTTTTTTTTAAATATAATAATTTAATTAGATATTGTTTATTATTTATTTATTTCATAACCTAAATTACAGAATTAAACAATAAAAACCTTTAAAAGTTAAGTATTAAAGTAAAATAGATTTATATATTAAGTATACCTAAATAAGATTGATAATCTTTAATTAAAAAATATGTAAAAATAAAGAAAATTAAATTTATATTTTAAACAAAATTATCTTAATATTTAATTAAAACTAAATAAAATCAAATAAAATAAAATGATTAAATTAATATACAATCTAGATTTAAATTAACAATTAGGCAATTAACCAAGTTTCCACCTGTTTACCAACACAATACACACATACATGATTGATGAACAAATTAAAGTTAGATTAAAAAGATCTAATCTTTAAGAAGACAAATAACTAAATAAAAGTATATCAATTACACTGATAAAATGATTAAACTAATTATCTTTGTCTTTATTATAATCAATTTATTACACTAAGTGTTAATTAACTAATTTAAAGTTAACAATTAATTAAAATTGAATTTCTAAAAAATATAATTAAATATAGTCAAAAAAACAATTATAAAAATTTAATTTAAGTAAAGATGATAATCTTTTACCTTTTGTATCAGGGTTAATTAACAATAAAAAAGAGTTTAATGTCTCGAAATTTACACACACACCCTCACACCCACACACACACACACACACCCTCACACACTCACACACACACACACACACACACACACACATACATACATACAGTTAGTTAGTTTTAGTTAACGACGATCAGCATCTAGGCTATTTATACATACATACATACTTACATACACACCCTCACACACACATATAAAGAAAAGACACATAAATTACAGGATCGAGGCTAAAAAACTAGGTTAAAATATATACGGGACGTTTCGGGGCTGAACAGCTCCCATCATCAGCCGAATTTTAAAAAAAAGGAAAAATACGCTAAAATGATCGTGACAGATCTGCTACATGGCTCGGGCCGGACTGATTACATCGTAAACAGACCGTCCGATCACCTGATTACCGGGGCACCCAAAAATGTTTTCTCGCTATGGCTGATTACCCGGTGGCCCGAAAGTAGACAGGTCACGCTGGAAACATGGATGATACGCACTACACTTAGCTTATCAATATCAGCCCTAAAATTACAAGTGTGCTCTTCATTCTTTAAGATATGTATCATCTCCAGCAATGATCTCTTGAAATCATTTTTTTCTCTGTCCAAAATTGCCACATTTTTGAAATAGAAAACATGGCCCGTCGCTTCTTGGTGGGCATGCAGCGCAGTTTTTTCCTTCCGATCATATTGGTGTCCATTTAATCGCATCTTAAGAAGTTGACGTGTCATGCCAATGTAAATGACATCACACTCGGAGCACTTGATTTTGAAAACTACCCCTGACTCATTGAGAGGAGGAATAGGTAGGTGCCTTTACTTGTGATATGAGACACTGAAGTGTGTTGTAATTTTTTTGGACTACTTCAAACCCAAATTTCCGGAGGAATGATGCTATGTTTTCGGACAATAATGGAACGTAAGGAATGCTGATGACTTTTGAAGGATCGGTTTTGCGACGAACAGTTGTACAAGTATTCCTCCCAACATTATATATAGCCCGCTTAAAAGCTGCGTTAATGAGAGATTCTGGGTAGCAATTCTCAGAAAGTAGATTTTTCCCTTTTTCAACAACTTCTCTTCTGTATATAACGTTGGTGAGTCTAACTATGCGTTGAGCTAGGTTCAAAGCGACGTTTTTTCTATACAAGTACGGCTGAACAGAGAAAAAATTTACGTATCTACCTGATGCGGTCGGTTTTTGATACCACTTACAAGTAATGACATTATTGGATCGAATCAAAGTCATGTCCATGTAGTCCAGCTTGTCATCAACCTCTTCCTCTAATGTAAACTGGAGGTCAGGGTTATAATCATTAAAGTAATTTTTAATGAGCTGAGTCTCATCTTGACGAACGCACAAAAAAAGGTCGTCCTTAAACTGCTTGTAATACAAGATGAGATACGGAATAGTTCTCAAAACCTCAACTTCCAAATTCTCCATAACTATATCACCTAAAACTGCTGAAACGCTGGCTCCCATTGCTAAACCGTGGATTTGCTTGTAGAAAGTGTCATTAAATTGAAAAATTGTTGATGTTACACATATTTTTAGCATATATACAGGAATTTGTCCTTCGGAATTTGACAAAAGTTTGTGATCTCGTCCCAACGATCATTTACGCATTGAACGGCCAAATCAGCAGAAATGTTGGTATACATGGATGTTACATCCAGTGAAATAAGACAAAATTCATCCGGAACTTCCTGGTTGTTAATAAAATCAAAAAAGTCAAACGAGTCCTTTATACTATACTCGCTTTTTCCGACTATGTTAGACATAATGTTTGAGAGAAACGTGGACACTGCAGCAAATGGTGAGTTTATTGTACCAACAATTCTGCGGAACGGGTGATTTTGCTTATGCAGTTTAATTAACCCATAGATTTTTTATTTATTTTATTACCCATGATTAGTGACTCCTTTTGCTGTTTACTGATGTAAGCTTTCTTACACCAGTGACCAATGATCGTAGTGCATTGTTTTACCTGAGTGGGTACCAATGAATGTCTAATTCTTTGATACGTCGTTTCATCACCTAGCAGTTCGAGCATTTTATCCTCATAGATCTGGGAATTTATAATGACAGTTTTGTTTGATTTGTCAGTTTTTATAATCTTAATGTTTTTGTTTTTTTTACAAAAATAATACGTGTCTGAAAAAGCTTTTTACAGCGACCTCGTAAAAAAGCACTGGTTGAAATTGCTGTTGGAAGCCACAGAGACTTTCTCTGTGGTTGATACCCTGTTTACCACATTTAAATAATCCTTAAAAATATGAAAGAGGCATCCTCTAATTCGTGATATCACTGGTTTCATCTGGCAGGCTCGGCGGATATACGGTATAGTCTTTTTTTTGCTCAGGAATCCCAAGAATGGTGTGTCAAGTGTGACAAGAAAAGTGTGTCTAATGACACACTTTTCAACATTATGGATGTTGTTATGGATACATGTTTTTCGTGCATTTTTTCGGAAAATCCTTATTTAACGCCCCCAATCGGGAGAAAATGTTCATTGCAAACTTTCTGGGTCGTCTCGGTATCTTGCTCCTGGGCAAAAGCCTTCATTAGTGGTGTTTTTTCACTTAATAGCAGTGAAAGTAGAGTGTAAGGAACCCTTTTAAAGTACTTTACCGTAATAACAACACTTACAACAGGAACAATGAGAGGAAAAGTACGATTGAAAACCACAAATTTAGATTTAAATTTTCTAGTGCTTCCATTATAGAGCAATAAACACGAGCTCGTCGGAAATTTCTTAAAATCTGTTCAAATAAGTAAAAAGGGTTCATTATATTCTACTTTCACTGCTTTTAAGTGAAAAACACCACTTATAAAGGCTTTTGCTCAGGAGCAAATTTCTAAGCAAAAAACGACAGTACCCTATATCCAAGGCCGAAAAACAAAAAACACATTCTACAAGACATGATTTGCATGCACTAATATTAGGCACGCAGTAATAGCAAGGTTCTTTGAACCGCTATGAGAGAAATATCTAATTTATTTATTTGATTTTGTTTTTATTTAAAAAAGAAAGAGATTAGTTGATTGAAAAAAGTGAGAAAAGTGAGTTTTTGGGAAATAAGTGAGCATATTAAATAATATATTTAATGGAACCCTGAAACCCAAGTTCCTTTCTGTTTAACGCTGCCCATCTTACTGGTAGGGCTGTCGTTAGGCCTTACAACAAAATAATTGGAGAGATCAATTT